ATAAGAAAAACATGCAGAGGTAAGGACAACTGGGTTGTGGATAGCTCTTAAGGCTATAATTATTAACACATAACTTTTTCCTTGTGTTCACATAAGGATGTTACTACAGGTTATAAAAAGTGGATGTTTCCTCTGAGGAGACACATTTGATGAGAAGAAATGAACACAATCAACAAGAAAAAATACATGGGCCTTTATCAAAATTTTTTTAAAAATTGTGCAACAAAAGATAACAGTAAGAAAGTGAATCCCCAGAATAGAAAAAAAAACCTGTAAATTGTGTATCTGTCATGTGATCTGTATCAAAACCAAATAAAGAACTCAAACTCAATAATCAAAACAAGTTTTAAAATAGACAGAAGGCAGGGGGAGGGGGTGCGGAGATGGGAGAACAGGGATAGTAAGGGGAAACAAAGGAGGAGGTAACAACAATGCTTGATAAGAAATGTACTCATTACCTTGCTCATGTAATTGTAACTCCTCTGTATGGTATTTTCACAATAGAAAAACTTATTAATAGAAAATAAAATAAAATGGACAGAAGATCTTCAAAGAAGATATAAAGACCAAGAAGCATACAAAATAGTGTCCAGTCATCAGCAAACGAACATTAAAACCATAATGAAATACTACCTTATATCCCCTGGAGCACAATTACAGACAAGCAACAGTATTGGTGAAGTTGTAGAGAACTAAAACTCTGACATACCATAGGTGGAAGGTAAAATGGTACAGCCTTGGAAATGAGGCATTTTCCTCAAAAACTTAAACAGCATATGAGCCAGAATTCCACTGCTAGGTATACACCAAAAAAAAAGGATATATTCCCACAAAAACTTGTGAACCTTTTACATGAATCTTCCTGACTCATTATATCCAAAAGGTGAAAACAATCACAATATTCATTAACAGAGAGATAAATGTTGTATCAACACACTGAAACCTTTTTTTTTGTCCACAAAAACCTATGGAGTACTAGTATATCCCACAAATAAAATAAACCCTGATCATGTTTGTCAATGTGAATGAAGCCAGTCACAAAATAGACAAATTGTCATAGGTAAATTTAAGAAAGAGAAAAGTAGATTAGAGGTTGCTAAGATTGCTGTCATGTTGGGGAAAATGGGGAGTGCTAAAAGGTACAGGTACTGGTTAAAGGTGTAATAATGTTTTAAAGTGGTAGAAATGATTGTATAACTCAAATATTGTTAAAAACGAATGGATACTGTATGAATTGTTTTTGTAGTTGTTGCCTGCTGGCACTAGGGCTTGAACTCAGAGCTGACCCTTAGCTTATCTCTTAACGATGTCATTCTACCACTTAAGCCACACTTCTCACTTGTAGCTTTTCCTTGTTAACTGGAGACAAGAGTCTCCCAAGTTGTCTGTCCAGGCTGCCTTTAAATTCCAATCCTCAAATCTCAGCCTTCTGAGTAGCTAGGATATCAGGCATGAGCCACTGGTGCCTGTCTTGAAATTTCTTAATAAAATCCTTAATAAAGAAGTAAACTGTATATGTGAGTTGAATCTCAATAAAGCTGTTGAAAAGCTGAGAAGGAAAAGCTGTGGAAGCAGAGATTAAGGCATGCTTTATTATTGTTTTATAAAGGTAATGATGGCTGGGAAAATAAAATGCAATGTTAAAATGATGCCAAGACATTACAAAAAAAATAAGCTGAATAAAAAGAGAAGGGCAAACATATATGCTGTATTTAACTCTACTTAAAAATCTTACTACTTTTTCTATAAAAGTAGCTCTTAGTAAGAATTTCAATTTTCAACAAGTCCAATATAGTACAACAATGTTGATGTTTTCTACTGCCTTAACTTTTTCAAAAAATATTATTCATTACAAACACAAAAATGCTTCTTAAATGGCCACTGCAATAGGAATGAATTACAAACCAGCCTCTGAACTAAGTAGGATTATGGGCAGGTGCCACAGGTACCCAAAATAAAACTTTTTTTTTTTAATCTCTAAAGCTGTAATTGAGTTATACAAAACATTCAATAACAACAACAAAAAACATGTCTGCTGTCCAGATTACCATTTGAATTTTTCCTGATATTATCAGGTAAATTATTTGGCATTACTGATCATTATATTGTTCTGTCTCCTTTCTGGTAGCCCCCAGTTCTCTGACTGAAGAAAAAAGAAAAATCTTTGCTTAGTAGAAATGATACTTAGGAAATAGTAGTATGGCTCAAGTAGTACAGTGCCAACCCTGAGTGAAAAAGCCAAGCAAGAGCTTGAAGCCCTGAGTTCTTGTGTACACACACACACACACACACACACACACACGGACATACACATATAAGCCTTCAAGTATCTAAACCAATAAATAACACTCATCTCATGAGAAGAGAAAAAAGTAGATTTTAGAATTTTCAAAAATATATTTTGAAGCAAGGAAAAACAGCCTTTACCCTTTCAGTAGTAATACTTTTAATGTACAGGGTTTTTTTTTTTTAAAGGAAAGAAAGTAAAAGTATACCCTTTGAACTATTTCCTTTGTCTCACATTTGCCTTTTTTAGGCAAGCTCTCAAATACCCTTAGATTCTTTGGAACTAGGCTCTTGTTTCCTACAAAATAGGATGTCAGTTGATCAATAACCATTTCGCTTAAATTCCTAAGTCCACAACTTCCCTTAAGTGTTAGAACAAACAGGTACAAAGCCTGAATATTTATTGTTTCTTTTTAAACTCCAAATGATATCTGCAGATGCCAAAAGGCATTTTGAAATCACTCACCCTTACATCAGTAAAAATGAAAACGGGATAGGGAGGAGAGAGAAACTCAGGAGGCCTTATATGTCAAGTTTTTGCCCAAAGCTAATTTTCATAGCTCTGTTAGAAAATTCTGAAAACAGAAGTTTATAATGGAAATGCTGACAGACCTTAAGTATAACAGCATGAATAAATATAATTAAAGAAAACCTTTTGGCTACACCTAACTCCATTAAATGAAAGACGCCATTTTTATATTAACCTAAAAGAACAGTGAGAACTAGAAATGTAATTCCAGAAAAGTAATGTTCCATGTTCAAAAGTAATGTTAAAGATGGCTGCAAAAAATATTTAATACATGAAATTTTAAACATAGAGGCATTTCGTTTACATAATCAAGTGAGTATTTTCATAATGCTACTTACTCAGTAATGAAGAATGCTCTAGTGAGCCATCAGTTCCAGTTACCAGAGAGTGGCATATGAAGTTATTATCTCTTAACAGGCCTAGAGGGAGCTACTTCTCCCTTCAATCAGTGATTTTAGTTCCTTCCCACCTATTATTTCTCGGTCATACAGTTACAAACTATTAGTTACACAAACTCACACATACACACACACACACACACAACACACACACACACACACACACATACACATACACATTTATGTAAGAATGGGTACCTTATTCCCAAATGAATGTGAAAACAGAGGAGACTGTTAAGGTAAAGTATTTTATTCTTTCCTTGGCAGAGATGTAGCCAGGAATAAATATCATTAATCTATGCAATCCATCATCTTCCTTATCTAAGCCAAAACCCAAGGATTTTAGCTTTGTTCTCAACTTTGAACTGTAATGATAAAAAAAGGCTATTTTTAATTTTTAGAAATGTTTCAAAATACTTTTGACTTGATAATACTAATAGTACATTGGATACTTCAGAAACTTCAATAAATTCTGGATTCTGATGTAAGAAACCAGGAATAAATTGGTATGATCAAATAGCTAAAAGGTTTATCTAGTTTGTTTTCTCCCCCATTCTTTTTAAGGTAAACCATTTTTCATGTTCTCCCCCAAAAAGATCCCAATTGAAATGAAATACTGTGTTGATTGTATTTGCTTTGGAAATGCTAAATCGTTGATGGAATAAAATGGAACTACCCAAGTCACAGCTCCTCTTGTTAAACAATGTACACCAGTTTCACTGAAAATGCATAGAGATGACTATCCAAGCTTCAAGAAAATATTTTATAGATCTCAATGCCTAAATCATAACTGCATTAATAAAGACCTATACATTGTCACAACATTCTTGATTACATGCTGACTTCATATTTCTTTTAAAAACTGGTCTATAATTTTGGCACCAAAAGTTATACCACACATTCTTTTATAGTTATTATTATTATAGCTGAGCAGTATTTTTTAAAAACCCAAAATACAAATTTGTTTAAGGAATCAAAATGTTACCAGCAATATTTATGTCCTTTTTAAAATCAGCAATCTGCTCCAGAGGAGTGCAAACTACAAATTCAATAAAGATTTTTTTAATATTAATATAAACTTCCTTTCACCTAATATCTAGTCTTCATCTTCACCTCTTTACCTTTACACTTCTGAACAGTGATCACAAGGATGAACAAAGACACAAGACAACTTTGAAGCTTGCAGTATTTTTCTACTTCCTGAAATGTTTCAGCTTTAATGCTAAACAACTTCTACTAAATTGGATTTTAAAGAGTAAAATTTAGTTTGTATTGCAAGCAAATATTAAAAGACTGATTTGGCGCTAATAAATCAAAGAAAAATATTATAAATAAAAAATAATTTACTTGTCTCAATATTTGTTAGCTCATGTTTTTCAACTGATTCCTGAACTTGCAAAATTATAAAAGCAAACTTATCAAAAGTCCCTCAATAAGCAACTACTTTATTTTTAGTAACAAAAGTAAAAGGCAAAATGTTTAGAAGTACAAGAACACCTATAGAAAACCTATAATTTCAGGCTTGCAGACACTGCAGATTTCATGCATGTAACTATTTTCAATTTTTTTAAACAATTAAAGTAACGTCAATAGTTTGGGTTTAGTTACTTATAAAAGCCTTTTGAAGAAAGCTTGTTTGAAAACTAATAATTTGTCCCAAATGCAGTACTAAAACAACTCTTCTATACTTGTAGTTCAAATTTATGTTGAAGGAAAACTTTAAAACGAACATGTTGTCACCTTTAAAAACAAAAATTAACTGATTAGCATATTGTTGTAAAACATACCTGATTCTTGCCAGAATAGCTTGGAGAAAGTTCAACACTGTCCTTAGTTCAGACTCTTGACAGGCTGGCAGAAGCATACTAAATCCATCATTAAGCAGATTTTCATGGGAAGGATACAAGCAATAGCTGGTCTCAAACACTTCCTGAACACCGTCAATGTAGATGGAAAGAAGTGTCCATAGAGCATGTCTCTGTACCATTTCATAGTTCTTTGACACCAAGAATTCCTTGGCTTTCTCTTGGAACTCATATGCAAATTTTTTAGCCAAAACACTGATGTCCAGATTTTTCTGGGCATACATCAAGAGAAATGCCATTTGACCTTTCCAAATAAGGACTCTCTGAGATGTTAGGAAGGCAGGCTTAAGGAAATTCAGAAGATCCAGAACACGACTTGCTACATCTTCTGTCTCTGCGACAACTGCTAACAGCAGAAACAGGTTGAAAAAGTTCTGAAGACCAACTTCAGTCAGTTCTTCCATTCTTTTACGATGAAACTTAGAATATATTCTGTAAAATATACATACAAGAAATATTTTAATAAAATCACTCAAAAAATCGGCCTTTACAATAAACCTTCCTTTGCTGTTCATAACATTCTTACTACTGTAAAATTTTAGCTAATTAGCTGAAGTTGCTTTATCACTTTAACTATTTTGCAACTACTTTGCTTAGAAAATCAATTCATATGATGATAGCCCTACCTTCAACTTCCCAGTGATGAAGCAAATGAATGGATTCAGCAGCTTTGCCCGAGAATAGTAGTAGTGTTCCTACATACAGTATGTGGCTCTTCCTTTTCAATTTCCATCAACTTATTCTTATTTGCAAATAAGAAACAATATCTGCCATAGTTTGCACCTGAATGATTCCCAAAGGTCTATGTGGCTTACTTAACAGTTTGGTACTACTGGAAGGTAAAAGAATTTTTAAGAGCTGAAGCCTGGTCTTGAGGTCACTAGGTGAGTGCCCAAAAGGAACTGGGGCCCAGATCCCGGTATTCCTTTTCACATAAAGGGCACAAGGTAAGAGGATTTCCTCTGACATATATACTCCTGCCATGATGTGCTGCTGTATGTAAACCAACTGGATCAATTGCTCACAGACTGAAACCTCTTATACCAAATAAACCTTTCACCTTTACGTGACCATTCTCTCACATATTTGTCATAATATGGAATCTTTTTTTTTTTTGTCGGTCGTGGGGCTTGAACTCTGGGCTAGGGCGCTGTCCCTCAGCTCTTCAGCTCAACATGAGTGCTCTATCGCGTGAGCCACAGCACCACTTCCGGTTTTATAGTGGTTTATTGGAGATAAGAGTCTCATGGACTTTCCTGCCCCGGCTGGCTTTGAACGGTGATCCTCAGATCTCAGCCTCCTGAGTAGCTAGGATTACAGGAGTGAGCCACCGGCACCCGGCAATATGGAATCTTTTAAGCACACTTTGATGGGCTCTTATGGAAATTCTAAAAATTTTTCATAAACTGTCTGCCTCTGTCTCTCACAAAGACCTGCTCTTATTTTTTACTTATACCTTAAGAAAATTCAAAGTGTTAGAACATTTTTTACCTACTTTCAAAGAAAAGCTGCTAACTGCTTAAATGTCTGAGGGGAGTCATTAAGAAAATCTCTCTATGCTACTTAATACAACTTAATAGTTCATGCACTTTTCTCATCAGTTAAGGGATTAGAATTGAAAAAAATTCATCTTTTAAATTCCTACTTATAGATTGCTAAGTTTCATAATTTCTATAATTGGTTTATTCAGGCCAGAAGTAATTAAAGCTCATGAGGTTAAATGTTAATTTATAAAGAGCTATATAAAAGCTGATACACTAATCAAAGTAAAGATCTGTTTAATTATCTTTGTATCCTCTACCATCTTCACTATAGTGGCTGAATATCATATTTGTCTAATAAACAGACCTGTTAATAAGTGATTTCCAATAATTTAATGACAAACTTATGAGTGATTATTTTCCTGAAAGTGTTTAAGATTCAAAAACAAAGCATCCAAGCACAACAGAAACAAAAACTACTAGCAGCTGGGGAAACAGCCTGATGGTAAACTGTGTGTTTAGCACAGGTGAAGCAGAATTCAATTACCACTGCTGTAAAAGAACATAACAGAATATAACAGAAGGGGGCTGGGAAGGTGGCTCAATGGTAAAGCGCTTGCCTTGCATGCGTGAGGCTCTGGGTTCGATTCCTCAGCACCGCATAAGCAGGAAAAAAAAAGCCGGAAGTGGTGCTGTGGCTCAAGTGGTAGAGCACTAGCCTTGAGGTGAAGAGCTGAGGGACAGCGCCCAGGCCCAGAGTTCAGGCCCACGACCTGACCCAAAAAAACCCAAAACAAAACAGAATATAACGAAAAGAAAACAAAAGCAACAATAATAAGTAAAACTAGTCTGAGTTATAATTACTGAATGTCCAATAAAACAGCTACCTTTAAAAATATGCATAAAAATCCAAACTCCCCATCATTTCACATTATTTATTATGGGAATCAAATGAGAATTTCATTTAACAATTTTTTAAACCCCTCTCCCTCAGAACAGCTTTCCTGAGACCCCACGAAACAAGCTGAGGAAGGGCAGGTGGTGGTATACTTTATAGAGGACCAAAAGGCAGCGAGCAGGCAAAGAAGAAGAACATAAGCAAGTAAGTACAAATCACATCTTTTGCACAAGGAAGACTCTCAAGAAAAAGAGAAAAATAGACAAATGTAACCAAAAGAATAATTTACCACATAAGAGATAAAAACGGATTCTACTATGCTCTGGACAGTTCTCATTAGAGGAAGAAGCACTTGAATTTGCTGGACTCAAAGAACAGTAATATTTTATACATCTGAATCTATCAGCTGCCAATGTCAAATTGGCAGGATCAAAGGTTCCATATTTTGCTGTCCTATGTTATAGATTTTTAAATGTAAAATATTCTAACCACAACTTTAAAAAAATGTAATTAAGGAAAGATATTAATGAACTTCCATGACAAAAAGACTGTACTTACCTTCCTTTGACTTGTTTCCAAGTATGAGGGCCATTGTTCTTCATTGCTTTCTTGACAACTTTTGCCAAAATGCAGAGAAAAATTGTGTAACTACTGCTAGACTTATACAGATCATGATCTTGTTTATCCTGACAGCAGGTCCTCACCATTTCAAGCATAGACAAGGGTGATTTGATACTCACAAGACCTTTCAGGGGAAGCCAAGAAACACTGAAGGAGCTATTCTAAAAAAAAAAAAAAAGGAAAGCTGAGAATTTAATGAGCTCATCAAAAAGCTTGACCCACTGTAATTACACAAATATTTCTATTATATTACCATTAACATACATAGCCCAAAACTTTAAAAATTCTGCAAAAGCACAACACATCAAGGGGTAATCAGATTTTTGGTTTTTCATCAACATCTTTCTAACAATTAGTTTGACCAAATTAGGACACAAAACAAGGTTCACATAGCATTTGAAAGTTTTGTACCTAAAGTTCTGTTACTCCATAAATTTCCCAATGTTACTGTTATACCACTTTTTGGGGTCTAGATGCTTGGATACATCTAACATCTCATAACACATTGTTTCATATCTTTTTGTTCTTCAGGAAATTGAAAATTTGAATTGAATTTCTGTACATCATTATTAGATTATTTTTCCTAATTTTTTTTACCTGGATTTCTTTTTGGTTCTTTTGTTTCTGTGCTAACTTTTAGTTGCTGCATCTACAGGCTTGATCATTCCTGTTTAATTATTTGGCTAGAATTTTGCATTAATAAAACTGTGAATTTCCTTATTTCTTCTTTCTCCTGTAATCACTCAGGCCTACCATTCAGAACTTACACCACAGCAATAAACTATGCTTTTTCACATCCCATGCATTTATCCACTGTTGCTTCAGCCCAATCTTTTTCCCTTTAAAATTCTAAAATTTTAGTTATCCCTAGTGCCAAGTTAAAATACTATGAACTTTTAAAATCTTCCCACAAGTCTATACACTAAGTTAGACACTCTTTCCTCTGGTGTCCTATAGTTTTTAACCTTTCCCCTCACAAGGTGCCTGAATAGCCTACATGAGACTCAGACTAAGTCTTATTTGGAATAATGGTGCTCACAGTCTGAAGCAATCAATAATTCTTAGAATTTTTTTTTAAATCTATGAGTGAAAATAACAAAAATCTAAAATTTTAGCTATTTTGTTTAGACTAACTTTAAAAGATGTTCTAGTCAATCTGTATAGACTGATGCTTAAGGTAAAACTACTTCTTTAATCTACTTTGAACAAAAATAAGTCTAAGAAAGACACAGCTAATTATAAACCATTAAATTCATGTGTCCCTCAAATATCATGTACAAATGACTAAAACTGTTGTGCAAATCCATATGAGTTACTTACCAAGTTCTTACTATAATATTCCCATAGAATGGTGACAATTGAAATGTTTGACTCCCAGACATCACAAAGTGTCAAACAACAGTGAAGATACATTCGTAATTGTTCTTCTAACATGCCATCCTAAAAAAACAAAAACAAACAAAAAAAAAAACAGGAGGACAAGAGAAGTACTTTAGAAAGAAACAGTGGAACAAGAAGTAAGAAGCCTTAGATTTAGCAATACCTAAGTCAGTGATGACTATATAAACAGTTCTCTGGACAGGGTGAAGCCAGAAAATCAATTTCAACAAAAAATACATAAAGTCCTTAAAGAAGTGAGAAGGGACAATATCCAGTGCACATGGAAAAGAACTAATTCTTTATAGAAACACTGATTCTTCTGTTACAAAAGAACAGCCATCTGAGTGGCTGAGTACATAGCAACTAAGTTGGGAGCTGAAGATGCAATGATGGAAAAGTTTTCATCAGAAGGTTCTCTCTTCTCAACAATGTACCATTCAAGATGTTGAACTGAATAAATTAGGGAAGAACATGTTGAACTGAAAGTTGAAGTTCTGAAAAAAGTCATTATGGAGAATTTATTTAAGAAACAAATATTCAAGAGCTAACTGTACTGCCACTTGAAACTTATTATCAAAAACCTAAGGTCAGACCAGTCAGCAAGAATGGTTGATTCTTCCAGCTGTATTTAACTGTGGGTATGAGCTGAAGGTAGCTGAGGTTGAACAGATTAAAAACAGAAATTGAGGAATTAAGGAATAAAAATTGTTTGTAACTGAGTGACTATTAATGATGGGTTGTGTAATTTACATTGCTTAAAAAGAAAACAGAAAGGAAATGTAAAGGCCAATGTTGATGGGCAGTATAAACATGAAAAACTATGGAGTATAACCATGGGAGGAGGTCAGAGATGTTCATAAGCTTTAAGCTCTCTGAGGGCTGTCATGATACAGGTGATGACAGTCTTTCTTACTGTTCTTGACCAGTATAGATGTTTCCCCATATAAATTCTTAAAAGCCTCCTGAGAAAGACTGTACTTAAAACCTAAATGAAGAAAAACCATAAATCAACATACTATTAGCACTGAGGGAAATTTTAAAATTATTAAATACAAAAGAGGACCAAGAGAAGGAAACTTAAATCAAAGTAGCAATTACAACTTATTCTGGAAATTAAAGCTCCCAGTTACTGACACAGATGCACTGTCAACATAAACTATAACACCATGACTTTAATGAAATGTTTTTTTTTTTGTTTTAATAAAGCTATGTTAAGGCATTGCTACTGAATTAAAGCTAAGATTGTGGTGAGGCACTTGCCTATAACCCCAACAACTTAGGAGCCTGATAGAGGAGGATCATGAGTTTCAGGGTAGCCTGAGCTACATAGCAAGACCTTGTCTCACATAACAACAGAAAATTTAATGAGTGACACCAGTGGAAATGGCCATTGCAATATATATTTACTTTACAATCACTTCTCAGTGATTTTCTATATTCATAAAATTAAATAGACACATTAGGTATCCATGCCTCATGACTGTAACCCTAGCTACACAGGAGGCAGAGACCTGGAGGATTACTGCTTAAAGCCAGCACAGGCAGAGAAGTCCATGAAATGCCATCTCCAGTTAACCACCAAAATGCCAGACTAGAGGTATGGCTCAAGTATGACAAAAAAACAGCTGAGAGCAAGCCCAAACCCACAATTCAAGCCTCCACACCCATTTAAAAAAAAAAAAAAACACAGGCAAAGGGACCAAGTATGCTTGCAATCATAGATACCTGGGAGATCAGAAGGGTCTTGGTTCAAGACCCAGGCAAAAAGTATTGAGAATACATCTCAACAGACAAGCAGGGATTGGTTCAGCTATGTAAAAGATTTAAGTTGGAGGATCATGGGGCACTAGCCCTGGGGCACAAAGTGATTTTATTTAAAAAGTCACTAGAATAAGCAAGAGGAAGCTGGTATAGTATGCCTACCAAGTGGGAAGCCCAGAGATCAAAATCCCACTCCAAATATATACATAAGAAACTTTGAGTTACTAAATTAGTATGCTCTCAAAAAGTATAAAGACTAAATAAGATGATATAAGAAAAATAACTTTTGCAGTATTAGAAAAAAATTCTTTAAGGAATATTAGGCCTTCACAGTTCCTGATAGAAGTTACACAATGTAGAATTCTTTGGCATCCTAAGCTAGAATTTGTAGCTCATAATTATCTAAGAGTTAAAACAAACATAACTTAAAGCAATATGATTTTCAAAGACAAAGCTACTGTAAGTATACAAAAATTTTAATCAAGATTCATTAACCAAAAAATACCTATTTACCAAATTAAAAAAAAAATCTTTACAGTAATTTTCCATATGCTTTTACATAAACTAACATTATCAAACTTTACAGAGCTAACATACCTGTTTAAGATATGATGAGCGGCACACTTAAAGCTATTTTAAAAGGAGGTCAGGCTTGACCTCTGGGCCATGAAGCACTATATTAACAGCTTTGCAGCAAGAAAAATGATAAGGTTTGAAATGAGTGCTCAGAAACTAGGACCTTATCAGTTAGAATATGATTCGAGCCTGTAAGACAAATTGCTCAGCAAGGCAAGTCACCTTCCTGCTGTGATGAGGATAGAACTGAATTTCCAATGCCACTGCCTATCTCCTGCTTCGTGTCTCCTGGTTTGATGTCACATGGTCAAGGAATGGAATACAGCACTGCAGTATCAACCACTTATGTTGCATACATTTTGTCCAAGTCACAATGTAGATAATTATCTTTGTCCTTTAACCAACAACTTCAATGTTAAAAATAATAACCTTTAAAAGCTACCCACTAATAGGAACTACACTGAGTTGACCCTTCAATTATTGTCAGGGTTGTAATAAGTAAATTGTTATTTAAATCATCGTAACAGTTAATTTGCCTTTTGCAAAAAAATATATAGTCATATTAATAGTTTGCTTGTTTTTAAAAAATGAAATTTGTAACATGAAAATGGAGCACAGCTAACAAATAACCTCACTTAGTTTCATACCTGAGCAGTGATGGACTGTTTAAGTAGTTCTTCTATAAAGTTCCAATTTGATTTCATTTGTCTCTAGAAAGGAAGATTCTTGCATCAAAATTATTAAGCATGATTATTTACATATCAATAATATGATATGGCAAAGTACCAAAGTACATTATCTCTATTATTAGACAGCATTGCAATTTCTTGAGTTTCCAACATTTTGGCAAAGAGCTAGTTAGCAGACTTGGTAGAAAAACAATCTAGAATTAGTCCAATCCAACATAATCTTTACTGAGAATACTTTTAGTTTAAAAAAATAAGTTTTCTGTAGAATTATCCTCTCCCTTCCTCTATTCCTCCCTCCCTCCCTTCCTTCCGATGTTGAAGTACTAGGGTTTGAATTCAGGGCCTCTGAACTGGCTCTCTAACATTTGAGCATTTGAGCCTCCAACCAGTTTTTTTCCAGATGGACATAGTCTAGCAAACTTTCCTGCCCAACCTGGTTTCATTTCAAACCACAATCATCAGAATGACTTTTGTGTTGTTGTTGTTGGTTGTGGTGCTTGAACTTTGCGTCTGGGCGCTATCCTCAGTTGTTCAGCTCAAGGCTAGCACTCTACCACTTGACCCACAGCGCCACTTCCAGTTTTCTGGTGGTTTATTGGAGATAAGAGTCTCACGGACTTTCCTGCCTGGGCTGGCTTTGAACCACGATCCTCAGATCTCAGCCTCCTGAGTAGCTAGGATTACAGGTGTGAGCCACCAGTGCCTGGCTTATATGTATACTTTCTTAACATCATTTTTCCCTATTTTACATCTACTAAGTAGAGGTGTTTTTCATTTCATTCAATCATAAAGGCCCTGAAGCAGCTTTAAGGAAAAATAGTACAGTACTAGCGTTATTTACCCTATGGCCACCTACCTGGCAATGTATCTTGCTGATTTTAATCTATATCCTTTCTTTATAATAAGCAGCAACCAGTGAGTTTCAGTGAGTTCTGAGTCTACCAAATTACTAAACATGAGGCTAGTCCTAAGAACTCTGAAGTATGGACAACTGGAGTCAGAGATAAAGATAATACTATGTCCTGAGACCTGAAACTTGGGAGTTGACCCTAGTAGTCTCTCAAAAGGGAGAGCATTTTGCTCCACTGGCATTACATGTAGACTGTGTTAGACTAGTACATATGCTAAGGAAGAGGAGGATCTCATTTCACAGAGAATACAATTAAGTCTCATATATGTACCAGTCAGAGAATGTATTCAAATCTAAATTGGTCTGGCTCTACAGCCAATGTTCTTCTATGATATTCTGTAAAAGTAACTGATTTTAGCCATTCATTTTTAGATATAATTTAAGTCTTAGCTTTGCAACTAGTGTTAATGAGTACAATTCACTTGTTCAGCAGTAGCAAGGTACTAAATCACAAGAATTATAGAGTAGTATAATTCTTACCCTAAGAATTTTAACAAGGTAGATCAACTTTGTGACTAAAATTGAAACAAAAATAAATTGTGTCAGAGGAACAGCAGCAACCATACCTCACCCAAACCAAGCATAAGAAAATACATACTGGGCTGGGAAGGTGGCTCAGTGGTAGAGCGCTTGCCTTGCATGCATGAGGCCCTGGGTTCCGTTCCTCAGCACCACATAAGCAAAAAGAAAAAAGCCAGAAGTGGTGCTGTGGCTCAAGTAGTAAAGCGTAGCCTTGAGCTGAAGGACAGCGCCCAGGCCCAGAGTTCAGGCCCCATGACTGGACCCAACCCCCCCCCCCAAAAAAAAACATACCAAAGAGATAGATCTTTCAAAATAGAATTTAACTTGGAGCAGTTAGTTGCAGTATTTTTTTCTACATGAGATTTACTATTATAATTTCATTTGTAAAAATCAAGTTAATTTCAGGTAGGAAGTCATTGATTTGGGGCTATGTTTTTTTATCTTTTATTCCATTGTTAAAAAATAAGACATTCATGCCACATGTTGGTGGCTCATGCCTGTAATCTTAGCTAACTCAGTAGGCTGAGATCTGCAGATCGCAGTTCAAAGCCAGCCCAAACAGGATGTTACATAAGACTCTTATAATAAACAATTAACTACTGAAAAGTTTGAAATGGTCCTGTGGCTCTAAGTTGTAGCACTAGCCCTGAGCACAAAATCTCAGAGACAGTGCCCAGGCCCTGAGTTTAAGCCCCAGGACCGACACAAAAACAAAAAAGACTCATTTAAATTTCAATTTAAATAGTAGCTCCACCAAAAATATAAGATTCCCCAATTCTCAACTTGCAGCACACTAAGAGCCTGGTGCAATTCTCATTTGTAAGTCACATTTCACATCTTTTATCTGGTTGTCATTTCAAGTGTTTCAAGGAAAAGCATCAGCCTACCTGCCTGATTGCCCTATACTCTTGGCAGAGAAAGCGCTGATAAAACTGACCCCCACTATAACCAAAAGGAATTGTCCTCTAAAACTGTATTTGATTTTAAAATAGATGACCATGTTTTTAAGAGGATAACACATTCTCATTTAGGTTGAGATAAAAGCATTAAACAGAAATATATGAAAAGCTAAAGCTCCTTCCTCCTAAGAAGTGAGATACAATTTTTTTGTGTGTGGGCTTCTAAGACATTGGCTAATTTTGTGATTAAATCCACATATAGCAGAACTTCAACTTCTAGAAACTCTTAAAATTAAAAAAAAAAGTCACATCTGAAACCTATTTAAAAATATAAAATTTCACATTAACCTTCAGGGCAAATCAGTTTGAATTTCAAGACTGACAGATTCCCATACTGTGACAAGACTAGAGGTATTTCTCTGTGAAAGCTACAGGACTAACCATTATTGCTTCCTAACTTCTCTCACACAAGATTCTTCTTTATAAGAATAAGACATGCTTACTACATAACCTCTAGTTATGCTTACTACATAATCTCTAGTACACTTGGCTATACTAATATAACATGAGAAAAAGAGTAGGCAATTTTCAAAATTGTCATCTAAGTATGCTATAGATAGAAATTCACATTTTATATATTTTCTCTGAAAGAATGAGCCAATATACCTTTCTGTTCATTTACTGGCCAAAGACAATTCTGAAAGTAAAAGTGACAACTCATTAAATAGGTTGAAAGGAAAAGTAGGCATAAACTGGGACAGTCCTTGGCAAACTAAAACACAGCTACCCTGTCATAGACATAGAAGGCAATCCTTAACAGAACTCTAGCATCAAGATTTTTTAATAGGGCATCATTAATCCCTGTGCCTCTCCCCAACTTCATAATATGTTCTGGATATTAAGAATGTAAGAAAGCCTGATACTGATGGTCCACACCTGTAGTCCTAGCTACTCATGAGGCTGAGATTTGAGGATCACTGAACGTGGAGCTGTGGCTCAAGTGGTAGAGCATTAGAGGAGCACCTAGGCCTGAGTTCAAGCCCTAGGTCTAGCAGAAAGAAAAAAAAAAAACTTGAATAGTCTCTGTGAAGTGTTAAGTATTTTGCAAATGCAATGCATTTTCACACCTTATGAAAACTATCAATAACTGAAGGGCTTGAATTTTTTTTAATTGTTTTTTTGGGGGGAATCCAGTCCTGGGGCTTGAACTCAGGGCCTGCATATTCTCCCTAAGCTTCTTTTTGCTCAAGGCTAGTGCTCTACCACTTGAACCACAGCTCCACTTCCAGCTTATTTGATGGTTTATTAGAGATAGAGTCTCAGGACCTTTCCTGCCTAGGTTGGCTTCAAACCGCAATCCTCAGATCTCAGCCTCCTGAGTAGCTAGGATTATAGGTGAGCCACCAGCACCCAGTCTCTTTTCAACATTTTTTATTAGCTTTTGTTACTTGTACATGAGGAGTTTCATTATGATATGTCCATATATTTATACACCCAGGTTCACTGTTCTACTTACATACGTTTGTATAATGTGCTTTAAATATATATACCCTCATTCAACCTCTCCATTGGTCCTCTCCATTCCTGTTGACAACTGTCATTCCAATAGAGACTGCTTTACTTTCCTGGCAGATTTTTAATTTTTTAGTGTACATTAATTGTACAAAGAGGTTGCTCTTCCTTTCCCTATCTCCCCCAATCCCTACTGCACAATTTTCAGTGATATGTTTGTGTATGTGTGTGTATGCATGTGTGTGAGTGCATGTGCATGTGTGTACGAGCCATAGGGGCTTGAACTCAGGGCCTGTCTATCATTTTGCACAAGGCTAGCACTCTATCAACTTGAGGCACAGCTCCATTTCAGAATTTGTAGCTACTAAAGATGAGAGTATCACAGACTCTCATGCCCGGTCTGGTTTTGAACCATGATCCTCAGAACTCAGCCTCCTGAGAGGGTTGAGCTAAAATTACAGGTATGAGCCACCAGCACACAGTGAGAATTCTTATACCATCTTCCTATAGAGACACAATGTACTCCAATATAATTACTTGGCCATCATTCTCATCTGCCTCTCTCTCATCTACTCTATCTCTCTATCTCTCTATCTCTCTATCTATCTATCTATCTATCTATCTATCTATCTATCTATCTATCTATCTATCTATCGTTTTGTTGTGTTTTTGACCACTACTAGGGGTTGAACTCAGGGTGTTTTTGCTTAGCTTTTTCCATTCATGGCTGGCACTCTCCCACTTGAGCTACATCTCCACTTCCGGCTTCGGCTGGTTAATTGGAGATGAGTCTCAAAAGACCTGTCTGTGCTGGCTGTGAAACATGATCCTCAGTTCTAAGCCACCTGAGTAGCTAGGATTATTGGCATAAGCTCTAAGTATCCAGATTTGTTCTAATATTCTAGTAATTGAAAGATGTAAAAAATTAGCATTGTAACTACACAAAAATACTTATTAAAAGTGCTACTGTAATATTAACAGCAATTGCCAAAATTAATGTGTTTGATCTGTATTAGCATGAATAGCAACACAGGACATACATACAATTCTTTGTGAATTCATTCCCATTGATCTCGCTCAATAAATGGGTAGCAGCTTTAATACACAGATAATGAGCTGTGTGTGAACTTCTCAGAGCATTTTATGACTTATTTTCCTTTATCATGGGTCTCCTAAAAGACCTTTTTTATAGTAAGGGAGTCATTTAGAGGACTTCCTGAGGAGTGTTCCTTTTCTATGATGCTGTGCCAGTACTAATTACCCTCAGATTCCACGAAGGAATTCTTAGTACTGAGTATGCTCAATATTCTAAAGAGGAAAGAAATCTGCTAAGCCCATCAAGGAACATAATCTATTAAAATATTCAAAGAAATAGCTCTTATGCCTTAGAGGATGAGAATCAAATGCTTTTTAAAAAAATAAAGATTCTCAAATATCCAATCAAAATTTCTAGAGTTGAGGACCTGAAGTCTGAACTTACAATACCAATAGAGAAAAATAAAATTATAGTAGCCTAAGCATGGAAGAAATAATATACAGCTAAAGCTTCCAATAACTACATCAACCAGCTGGTTTTATTCAGAAGGCTTTTTAAATAAAAAGCCTAAAACACTGTAAAAACATGTTTTGAATTAAAAATTAGTAAAACTAATCTTCCTATATGAAGCAAACCTAATAGTGTTTTGCAGATGAAATAACTTAACTAGTAGAGCATCAACCTTGAGCAGAAAAGCCAAATGAGAGAGCAAGGCTCTGAGGTCAAGCCCCAGTACTAGGCCAAAAACAAACTAATAATCAAATAAACAAAATCTTTGAGAAAACCACCTCTGAAGAAATGTTTTAAAGCCAGACAATAGTGATTCATGCCTCTAAGCCTCGCTACTCAGGAGGCTGAGATCTGAGACTCATGGTTCACACCCAGCTTATACAGACAAATCTGAAAGACTCTCCTGTTAGCCAGCAAAAAGCCAGAATTGGAAGGGTGGCTCCAGTGGTAGGGTGTTAGTAGTGTGCAAAACTGTATAAATGGTCAGAGGCCTAATGTTCAAGCACAAGTACTAGTATCTAGAAATAATGAAGTTTGGAAACACAGTTTTATTACATTAGGCAAAAAGAATGACTTAATTTCTTGTGGAGACATATGCTTTCCCTTTACCACTCTTGCAGATTTTGGAAAGGAATCTTTGGAATAAATCCAAGACCACGATTTTTGGATGAAGAAACTGAGGGTCAGAAAGGCTTAAACAATGTACTTAGTCATACAACTATTTAGAAGCAAAGCCAGGATTAGAGGCCACCTCTTTTATAAAATAATTTTAATCAAACACTAAAAACAGCTGGGTGCTGGTGGCTCACGCCTATAATCCTAGCTACTCAGGAGGCTGAGATCTGAGGATTGCGGTTCAAAGCCAGCCCAGCAGGAACGTCTGTGACACTCTTATCTCCAATACACCACTAGGAACCCGGAAGTGGAGCTATGGCTCAAGCGGTAGAGCTCTCGCCTTGAGCTGAAGAGTGCAGGGACAGCGCCCAAGACCAGAGTTCAAGCCCCACAACCGACCAAAAACAAAAACTCTAAAAACATAAAAGAGAAGGTCTATGACTATTTACAGAAACATCATCATAAAGTAAAAACTTATCCTAACAGGATTATGATCAGATTTCTTATTTCTGCTTATTTAAGTCTGTTTTACAAAAATAACAAAGAACATACTGACATTATAACAAAATATTAAAAATCACAAAATCACGTCTTACCATTTTGTCTGCTACTCCATGGCGATCAAACTGGTAAAATGATGCTACGTGAGTAATTATCCACCAACTAAAACCTAATGGATCCCTGGACTGGATTACAGGCACAGGAGGTCTTCTTTGGTCACTTGATTTTTCAAAGAGTGTTTTAAGTAGTTTATTCAACCAGTTCCAAAATGACTAAAGAAACAGAGATATTGGGAGGGTAAGTGTGAGTCTTGGTTGTTTTAAGTGGTGGTGATATCTTAACAAAGGACCTAATTTTTTCTCCAATGTTAATCATCAAAAGTATCAATACTTTCCTTTTATCTATTCTCCAGAAACTCTGCCTTCAAAGATTGTCTCCTCAATACATGCACATTTGTATGTTCTTTACCTGCAGGCAGTTCTAGGACTTACAAGAAAACTTTCTTGGCAATTATTTCACTTTTTTAAAAAAAATTTAGCTAGCCCTCTTCTTTCCTTTGACTAGTTTTTCCTCAGAATTTCGTGGCTTGTTAGGAAGGCTTTGTGGAAGGAGCTCTGGTGGTTTCTAACTTGTAACTGCTGGCCCTAAGGAGTACTGTTTTGCAGTTGTGCCATCAGCAAGTTGAGGGAACAGGGGTAGTAATCACCATTCTTAAGCTTTTATATGTGATGAAGAGACCATGTGATAAAATATGAAGTTAAATACCACTTAATATCCTTACCTACATAGAAGTGAATGGCTTGAAATTGAACATAAAATGCAGACACTTTGAACTGGATTGCAATAATAAATGCACGTACATAAGTATAAACTTTCTGTATCATCCTAGTTTTAATAAACAACTTTCTATACAAATTTGGTTGAGGTTCTATTTCAATGTTATGGCTAACTTTTTAGACAGCTAGGTATCAGTTGGCTACTAATTTAACTATATCTATATCTATATATAGATACATATATATATAATTATATATATATATAACTATATCTATCAATCAGTGTTGGCTTACTTATTTTTTTACTGGCAATACTGGGTTAAACTGGGTCTTGTGGTTGAAAAGCAAGTGTGATCCCACTTGAGCTGTTCCCTAGCCTAGCCATTTGTCATTACTAATTTTTCAGATGAGATCTCAAATTTTGCCCAGGACTAGACTCAGACTACAGTCTTTCTATCTGTCTCCACAGTAACATAGCTGGGATTACAGACATAAATCCCTGTATCTAGCAAATTGGGTTTGCAGAAAATGGAAAAACTGATGCTTATTCCACTGAAGAAATTTTTTCAAAAGGTAAATATTGAAAAGCAAAAAAAGAATTCTGAAGCTGGCCACCAGTAGCTCACTTACAATCCTAGCTACTCAGGGGACAAAGATGTGACGAGTCAGCCTAGGCAAGAAAGTCTGAGAGATTCTTATCTCCAATCAACCACCAAAGAAGCCAGAAGCAGAGATAGTTTCAGTGGTAGATCACCATTTTTGAGTGAAAAAGCTAAGGAACTATGCCCACAACTTGAATTCAAGCCCTAGTACCAAGACAAAATAAATTACTTGAGACTTTGTAATATTCAGGTCTCATTTTAGAAGCCAAATTTTACTTTATAAATCAAACTGCAAGGGAAAAAACAAAGCTTAATAAACAAAACATGAAATTTACTTTTCTGCTAAAATAATGACAAAACAAAGCTTAATAAACAAAACATGAAATTTACTTTTCTGCTAAAATAATGACAAAACAAATTTTAAAAAACAGTGTATGTAAAGCTGCAAAAAATAGAGTTCTTACTAAAATTAAATAACAACATCTAAACCCCAAAATATTTAATATGGAAATATCAAAACCTAATGAAAAAAAAACCTAAAGAACTTTCCATATAGCATAAACCATGTTAGTATAATTTGTAATATCCTGTTTGTATATATTTCTGCATATCAGTATCCTTTTGTTCAGAAATCTTAAAAATTCAAAGCTCCCTTCTGAAGCCTTGACTCAAAATGAATTGGAAGAAAATTTCCCATCCTTCCCTTCCTGCTTGTCTCTATTCCTTGAAATAAGATCAAATAGCAGAAATTTAAATACCAAATCTAAGTCACTCCAAATCTAAATCTGTCACATTTTCTGACTATAGTTTTTTTTCTGAGTTACCAGAAGTTATTTAAGTACTTTATCCTAAAATATTTCTGATAGGAGATTAATGAATTAGAGAAAATGTGACAGTCAAGTTTTATATTACTTCATTTTTCTTATTACTAAGTTAGGATTAAAAAGTCTAGAAGCAGTAGGAGTGGCTCAAGTGGTAGAGTGCCAGCCAGTAAGTGGAAGCATCAGACACTGTTAAAGTCCCAGCCTTGAACCAAAAAAAAAAAAGGCAGTAGATATTCAAAGTTAATTTAATTCATATTCAGTGGCTGTTACAGTCATACCATAAAATACGTTAGAAAGAGTTTTCTTGGCCAAACACATTGAAAAAATTCAGTGAAAGAGTTGGTAATAACTAGACATCGTTTCAAACTTACTTCAGAAAGAGACCATTTACTTCTGTGGTCTAGAAGATGAATGAGTAGAACCCATAATTCTTTAATGCATGCACAGGGGCAGGGATGACTCGTTAAGCTTTCAAAAGGCCTAACCTGTAGAAAAGAAGAGGAAATTCTACATGCTATAAATGTAGCTCTTTTTTTAATAGATAAAATGTACTCTCAATGTATAAAATTCTTCATGAAAGTCATTTCCTTTTTCAAATAAATTTCCTTTAAAACAAAGTACATAAAAAATCTAATTCTTAACTAAAACACAATAGTGTCTAACTTTAGGGATCTAGTCAAGTGATCAACAAAATTTTTCAATAAGAATAAAATAGTAAATATTTAGGACTTCATTGGTAATAAAATCTCTGCCACAATTACTAACCTCAGCCACTGAAGTAGCAGCTACAGACTAAGGGAGAGAAATGGAGAAGGCGGTGTTCAAATAAAACTATTTATAAAACAGGTAGAACTGGTTGAACTGAGCATCAGTGTCACAGTATAATGCCTAAATCTAATCTATCGGCCACACCAAAGAAAAAAAAAAGACTTCTGATGAAATGTTAGAAAATAAGCTTGAATTTATAAGAACAATAAATCATCTTGTAAGATATAACAAATATAATTTCCTTTTTGCCATTTCAATAACAAAATATTCTAAATGATACTAGATAGTTCAGACAATTTTACTGTAATTACAAATATAGCTAGACCACACAAATTCATAATCTATTCAATTTCACATATAACATGCACATACCAACCATAAAATAGAATAAACAGATTGATTGATAAGATGTTACTGGAAGTTTTAGACAGAGCAATTAGGTACTGACACAGAAATTTTAAAAATCCAAATTTAAAAAGAAGTGGTTAAATTGTCACTGTTTGCAGGTGACATGCTTTTTTTCTTCTCAGGTTTTAAGACAGGTAACCCCATACTGGACTGCAATTTACAATTGTTTAGCCTTAGTCTCCTTAGTTGTGGGAAGTGGTAGGATTCTAAACATGTGTCACATCTCGCTTGAAATATTTTTATGAGAAAACTCTAAGGTATTTGCTCAAATTATGCTACCTAGTAAATTTATTAATGTTGCAGGATATAAAATCAAAATACAAAGATCCACATTTTCTTTAAATATCAATAAATAATAATGATCTTATTCATAACAGTCAACAGAAAGAAATCCTCAGGATAAATTTAACCAAGTTAAAAATTGGTACACTAAATACTACAAAATGATCAAAGAAACCAAATGAAGACCCAGTACATAGAAAGATATCCATCTTTGTTCATGGACTGGAAGAATTTAGTATCGTTGAAATGTCTTTACTACCTTTAAGTACTTAACAGCTTCAATGCAATTCCTACTAAATATTGAAGACATTTTTCACAGAAATAAAAAAGAGAATATTTATATGAATACATAAAACCATCCCAAATAGCCCAAACAATAAACAACCATCACCACACACACACACACACACACAAAAATCCCTAGAGACACTGTACTTCCTGGCTTCGAAATAAACTATGAAAGTACAATAATTAAATCAGCAGGTACATAGGATAAAGCCAGGCACTAGTGGTTCACGCCTATCATCCTAACTACTAAGAAAGCTGAAAACTGAGGACTGTAGTTCAAAGCCAGCCAGGGCAGAAAAGTCTTATCGCCAATGAACTACCAAAATGCCAGAAGTAGAGTAATGGTAGAACACTTAGCCTTAAGTACGAAAGCTCAGGAAGAGCATGCCCAAGCTGTGAATTCAAGTCCTTGGACCAGCAAGTGTGAGCGCACACATACATGCATGCATGCATGCACATGCACACGCATGCACGCACGCATATCTACACACACACACACACACACACACACACACACACACGGTCAGAGCTCCAAGAACACAGAGTAGTGAAATGACCTTCTCAGAAAACACCTCTAGGAAAACTGTATGTATGTATAAGTTGAATGGAAGTTAGACCCTCATGGATTATAGACTTAAATGAGAGACCCAACATTGTAAAATCACACAAGAATGCATAGAAGAGAAAGTTCTATGACACTAGTCTGGGAGTTATTTCTTAGGAAAGCACAGACAACAAAAGTGAAAACAGATGAATGAAATATCTAACTAAAAAGCAAAAAGTTTTTTCAGCAAAGAAAATAGTAAAATGAAGACAAAATCATATTCAATTATTATTCATAATAGCCCACACAAAGAATCAACCTATGTATTCACCAATGGATCAATTAAAGAAGAAAAATGTGAAAAATACTTACAATGGAATACTATTATCCCTAATTGGAAAGAAATCCAGCCACTGACCAGATTATATTACATAGACTAAGCCCTTTCATAACAATTGCTATACAATCTCACAAATTCAGGGTAAATAGAGATTAAACTAATTATACTAAAGACTATTATAACGAAGTATGAAAACGACAAATAACCCTTAACACATTACCTTGTCATACCTGTTGAGTGACAGCCTTATTAAATCATATAGAAGATTTTCACAATGTTCTTCAAATAGGCCAACACTGGTTAAATTGTCACCTGCCAGATTGACAAACTGCTGACCATACACAACTCGTTCTGAAAAGTAACAAAAAAAATTTTACTTAAAACTACATAAGGTTTTTACTAATTCAAGAGTAAAACTATACTTCTTTAACTTCTAAAAAAAGAAAAACAAAAATTATTTTTGTAAGAGTTACATTTGAGAACAATAACTTATTTACATGAGTACTAACATTATATAGAAAACATTTTCAACTCTTCTCCACATAATAAAATTCTCTGATCCTCATTAATGCTGCATCACTTAGTGGGAAAAAAATCTTCACTCACCTTTAGTAACATACCATCTAAAACATTATTTTTTAATACTGATAAACTGAGTATGTTTGATTGTTTTATGGCATAAAATAGAGCATAACAGGGTAACAAGCAAAATTGTTCCTTTATCATAGTACGTCCACTTGAATACTGTTCAGAGTAAATATGTGAAATATAGTCACCATAAGAGGAATATGCACATCTTTGTATGTCTGTATAATTGTAAACATACACATGCATTTTAAAAATTCATTAATACAAAATTTGGTATTGAGGAAATAGCTATCTTTATAACCTAGTTTGGTAAGGATGTTGAATACCAAACTGCAAGGTCAGAGAAAGGCAACGTAAGAGAAAGGATTGTTATCCACTAATAAATGTACAATAAAATTATGTTAAGATGTTTGTATGGACAACCAGGAAATCGCAAACACACACAAAAAATACAAGTATAATTTGTTTGTAGTCAGAAAATAATATTCTCTAAGGTTAAGAGAACTTGCAGCTAATATATATAAGCTGGCTAAGATTTAATATTCAACTAATGAACAGCATACACAAAACCCAAACTACAATGTTCCACTGCACTTCCAAGAATCTGTTTTACAGAATAATGTATACAAGGTATGTTTAGGTATGTGCAGTAAAGCATGATTTAGAAGTAACTTAATGTTCAAAAAATAGACAAAGCTAAGTATAGAAGACCCATAAAACATTTAGGCCTTAATAAAGTACAGTTAATATACTAATATGACATTTGTCTAAAAGCCTACTAAATGTAAGATTTACCATTTATATAATGAATAATGAAAAGGGGTATAAAACTGGTATAGGAGATGGAAGTTTTTCAAAGTACACCATGTACTTGTATGGAAATACCAATGAAACCTCATTTTACAAATACATGTTAACACAAAAGTCAATGACCAAGCTGTTTCCAAAACCTCAGTGAAAGAGTAGTAAAACTTTTACTTCTTTGGTTTTATTTTATTTAAGACATATACATCATTAAATACACATGACTTATGTAATTCCCCATCTTCCTTCCTCCTGTCCTTTCCCTCTTCCTCCCTTCCTTCCCTGTTTAAGACTAGGTATCACTTAGCTCAGACTAACTTCAAATTTGTGATTCTCCTGCCTCAACCTCCAGACTGATAGAATTAAAGACAACACCAGCATACCATTACTTATGTTATTTTTTAAGTGAAAGTTTAAATTTTAGAAAAAGAATATAAATCCATAAACTTACTCAATTTTTCACCCAGTATGTGAAGAATTTCTAGGACCTGCCAATGAATATCTAAGTGGAGATGTAATAAATGCCAGCATGGTGGAAATTTCTGTAAATGATAATAACTATTATTAATAATTCTTAATACTTTACCAGACATTTTGTAGCATGTCAAAACTCCAAGACATAGGATAAAGAGTCAAATAACCTACCAGTATTCAAAAGTTCATCTGCCCTATTTTCTAGAGGATTCTTTCACTGAAGCTCTTTGAATTGCAAAATGTATTTCTATTTTTTAAGACAGTGGGACAGCTGAATAGACTTCTACAGTAAACATATCTCTCAATCAGATTTTAAAACCCAAACCTCAGGGCTGGAGACATAGGCATCAGCAATAAATAGATGGTACATCTTGCATCAGTACCACTAAAAAAACAAAATACTTCCAAGTGAAAGATTATCACTAGTAGGAAATAAAAGGACATGATTAAAATTATCTTAACTACATTTCAAAACATCAGAATATACATCATGATGCAAATGCAGCTTTGATAGTATGATTTTGGGTTTTGGTGTGTTTGCAGTGCTGAGGGTTAACCTGAGACCTTGAGCAGGCCAGGCAAGCACTCTACTATGGAGAACATTTTCAACCCTAAAACATAATTGTTTTTTATAAGGTAATCTTCCTGACTCATTATACAGCTTTCCTAAACTTTTATCAATGAGGGAAAAGCTACAAAGTGTTTAAAATAAAGATTACTTAGCCTGAAACTTTTTTTTTTTTTTTTGGGTCCGGTCGTGGGGCCTGAACTCTGGGCCTGGGCGCTATCCCTTAGCTCTTCAACTCAAGGCTAGCACTCTACCACTTGAGCCACAGCGCCACTTCCGGCTTCTTTTCCCCCTTTTTGCTTATGTGATGCTGAGGAATCGAACCCAGGGCCTCAGGCATGCAAGGCAAGAGCTCTACCACTGAGCCACCTTCCCATCCCCAAGCCTGAAACTTTTAAACATTTACACTACTATATAGAAACACAAAAACTATTGACTTAATATCTGCTAATGAAAGTACTTTAGACAGATTATTGTACATTATTCTTTTTTAAGAAATTATATGCATTACCCATATCATATTTATGATAAAGTATTTACCTTTAATTCTATGAAGCAAACATCACATTGGCAAAAAAATACTCAACTGTGAAAAATGTGTTCTGTTTTTCCAAACACGGAAGGGGGGAAATGACAACACATAAATTTACAATACACACTTTTTAAAGTTCAAAATTATCTTAGAATTGGGTGCTAGGGTCTCATGTGTATAAGCCTAGTTATACAGAAGGCTGAGATTTATTTTTTTTTAATTTACTTAATTGCTGTTTTAGAGGTGATATATGGCAGGGTAACTTCACATAAAAAGTACATTTCCTTTTGCACAGTGTCATCTGTTCCTTCATTCTCACTCATTCCCTCCCTCCCATCTCTACCCACAAGTTGTATATGGAAGTCAACTATGCAGCATGTTCTTAATTCATAAAAAACATACTTAATTCATAAAACCTTAGACAAGTTATATAAGTTAAACAGATGAGGATGCAAGAGATGTCAGTCACATGTACCAAAACACATAATAAAGAGACTAGAATTTCATGGGTGTGTGTGTGTGTATACCTGGGCTTGTATGCAGAACCTGGTGCTCTTGCTTAGGGGTGTGTGTGTGTGTGTGTGTGTGTGTGGTGTGTGTGTGTGTGTGTGTGTGTGTGTGTGCGCGTACTTGGGCTTGTATGCAGAACCTGGTGCTCTTGCTTAGCTTTTCCATTCAAGATTAGTACTTTACCACTTGAGCCATACCTGTCCTGCTTTTTGGTGTTTTCTGCCTCGGCTGGCTTTGAACTAAGACCCTCAGCCTCCTGAGTAGTTAGTCACCAGTGCCTGAAGCCAGAATTCATTCTTAACTAATTAATTTTGTTTTTGAAGAAATATCCTTTATGGAAAGAAAAGGCTGGTAATAAATTGTAAAAAGACAAACCTTAATATGGTTTTGATTTACAAATGCTCCTAGATTAATACTGGGAAGTTCATACAGATGGCCAATATACAAAAGTAATCCATGCAGTTCATCAATCAGCACTGAGGGAAGCTGAGACTCTGAAGCTTCATAGGGATGGACAGGAACTTGGTCTTCATCAGCCTGTACTTTCAGACACCTGAAGAGTGTCAAGATGGAATAAACCAAATCTGAAGAATATACCCACAGAAAGACATGCAGTAAGCAAATATTCATTTGCCATCCTACCTGAAGATGAAAACTTTAACATAATGGAGAAAGGTCACACACTGCTGCCTAATATTGTCTGCTCTGCTGTGTAGGCTGGATATCTTCCCTGAAACAAAAACAGACAATGTTAATCATAACCTGAATCATAACCTGCCATTTTTTCCACCTCTTCTTTACTGACTCCTCAGTTCTATTACAAAAAAGCCTCAGAACTCAGTCCCAAGTCAGCTCTTTTCCATATATGTCCTTAGACATGATTAGTTCAACTCCTTTATTAATAACTGATATCCATTCCAAAAGCCTGATCTATACCTCCTAACTTTCATTTGCATTCCAGACCTTACTAGCCAAATTAGCTAACATCTATGCTCAGACAATACTATGTTAATGAACAGAAGTGCTAGCTAGTACCAGCATGATATCTTTTTACTGTTTCCCAAATCAGTGCATGTTATCCATGTGATCTACATCATTCTTCATTTGCCTTTCTTTTAACCTCCTATCTTATCCGTTAAGAGTCCTATTAAGCTTATAACCATATACACCTTGAAATTACCTATTTTTTCTATAATCTCTAAAATTATTCCAATAGGACTCTAACAGACCTTTCCTGTAACTCTCCATATCTACATACAAAGTATGCACAGCATGTATATTAATTCCTGATGTTCCCAGATCAAGACTCTTAAAAGTATACCAACATTAACTATACTTAAAATTAGGGCTGGGAATATGGCTTAGCAATAAAATGCTTGCCTAGCATGCATAAAGCCCAGGGTTCAAATCCTCGTACTACATAAACAGAAAAAGCCGGAAGCAGCACTGTGGTTCAAGTGGGAGAATGCTAGCCCTGAGCAAAAGAAGCTCAGGGAGAGTGCCCAGACCTTGAGTTCAAGCCCCAGGATTGGCAAATAAAATAAAATAAAAGCTCTTATAAGACCTTAAATGGAATCTTTTCCTCAGTTACCTTAACATTCACATCAGCAAGAAATAATCTAGGTAGCTATTATATATAAAGCATTGATAACCTTTCTGATAAGACAGCAAACAAAAATAAATGAAAACAAAGAAAATATGATGAGAACCACAGGAAACAAATTCTCATCCATATTAATCATAGAATAAATAAAACCTACTTCTAAATTTGAGTTCAATTTGCAACATATGACAATTAATTAGTGTGACCAGATGAGTGTGAAGTTGCTATGCTAACATATACATATCAAATTGCACTTGGGACTAATTTTACCAATGAAAAGCCATATAATCCCTATGGTTTGAATATAGTATGTCCTTTCTGGAACTCAGGTTGAAATCAGATTGCTATGTGGTAGTACTATCGGGTAGCAGAGGGCATTAAAAGCTGGTTAGGTCATGAAGAATTCTATCTCATAGGAATTCTCAGTACTCAGGACTGGATTAACCACTAGGGCAGTGGGCTTCGGTAAAGCAAGGCCACTTTCATGTTTCATCTCTTTTTCATGTACCTATGATGCCATCTGCCACATCATGATGCAGCATGAGGGTCTTGCCAAACACAGTTGTCACATCTTGAACTTCTGCATCTAGAACCATGACCCAAATAAGCATCTTTTCTTTACAAATTTTATTTTCGGGTATCCTCTTACAAAAATAAAAATCAAATAAACAATTCTCAGCCCCTAAAAGCAGCGATCTCTGAAAATAACTGCTGTGCACCACTGTAGTCAAGTAATAGGGAATAATAATTATTTACCCTTAATAAGTAAAGCATTAGATTTATCCATCTCTTACCTTTAAACTTGGAAAACAGGAAACAATTTAAAGTAAGTTTCAGTACTAGACAAGATTGTTATCCCAGAGGAAAGTGAGTCCCATGACCATATCAGCATTCCATCTAGAGTTTCCAAGCTGAAGTACAGGGGGCAGAGCCCTAACAAAGATCAACTCACTGAGTAGTTGAGATATGAAATTGGAAAGCCTAAATTTACAAGAAACAAAAAATACGTAAGGAGAAAGGAGGCTACAAAAAGGAATTGGGAAACGTATGGGTCTCACTTAAGGCTTTGAGGGAGTACTGTTCATCCGACGATTTAAAAAACAAAACAAAAAACCCTAAGGCTATAGAAAAATGCCAGAAAACAATTCCCAAAAAGCTTATACCAGTTAGGGACAGTTCCAAGTTCCCATTTGTAAAATAGGAAAACAACAGAATAATCCAAAAGGGAGAATCTTCAGAAGCCTTATCAGAGAATCTTCAGAAGCCTTATCAGATTACTGGGCTACGTGAAAATTACAGTAGAGAAATTATCTTTGACAACTCTTAAAACAAGCTTCATAAAGCATCTGTAGATTAAAAATATCCCATAGCATGCTAGAACTAAACTTAACATCTAAGAAATTCAGGCTGAACACTGCAACTCATACAGATAACTTCAGCTACTCAGGAGGTTATCAGGAATATTTTGGTTTGCGGTCTGCCTAGGCAAAAAGTAAAATCATGTATGTGAAGCCAGGAGTAGAACACTTATGTAGGAAGACAAGAAGATCATAGGACACCTTTGCCCAGGCAGAAGGTATAAGACCCTGCCTGAAAAATAACTAAAGCAAAAAGAAAAAGCAAAAAAAAAGAGAAGGGGAGAGAGAGTGAGGGAGAGGAAGGAAGGAAGGGAGGGAGGGAGGGAGAAAAGGAGAAAGGGAGAAAGGAACGGAGGAAGGGAGGGAAGGTGCGGGGAGGGAGGGAAGGAAAGGGCACTGGAGGCAGTTTCCTAACAAGTCCTTGAGTTAAACCCCAGTACTTCCTCTCACTAAACAAAAAAAAATCAAAAAACAAAAACAAGTAAAATTAGAAAATAGCAATGTAAAATGTGCATCACTGCTATTCAATAAAACACTACTATTCAAATAAGCAGAAATAAGTATGATAGCAGCAACAAAAAAACAAACCAGACAATACAAACAGGTCCAGAAACAAAAGTGAGTAAAGATCCAACTGTCTCCAAACCATAACTACACATATGTTCCATACTTAAGACAGATGAACATAAACAGGAGGACAGAAATAGAATATTTTTTAAAATACCAAATCATAAATACTACACTGTACGAAAATTGCTGGCAAGCAGAAGCAACTAGCCTCCAATAAAAAATACTTCCCTTCCAAGTCCTTCATTACTTTAACCCTATCAGTTTCCCTTAAACCAGTAACCCCTTAAACGCAAAATTCAAGCAAAAACGTAGAAGGCAGAAAAAATGAGATGCCTCATTTCTGTTCTACACCCACTTCCCACCTCCAGGCAATTACAGACACATGTTCAAGTCACCAAAGGAAACTGCATTCTCTTTCCACTGAACACATGCTTCCTATACTCACCGAAATCACAGCTAGCATGTAACAAGCCTTCCAACTTGTATAGATGTTGCCTAATTTTAAAAAAGGTGAGTTATTTTTAGCAGTTTAAAATATGTAACAATTACACAGCTAGTATTTCCTAGTCTATTACAAAGCTTCAATATTTCTTTGCAGTTGGTGTTTTATACTTTGTAAATGTTTATTAAAGGTCAGCTACAGGTAGTGGAAATTCTGAGAGAATATAAAACAAACTGGTGTTTAACAGTCCAAAAATAGTCATTGAAGGATGCATACACCCCAGAAATGATTTCAAGTATCATTTGAAATTTCAGTATCAGGGGGCTGGAAAGGTGGCTCAGTGGTAGAACGCTTGCCTTGCATGCCTGAGGCCCTGGGTTCGATTCCTCAGCACCACATAAGCAAAAAGAAA